GTTACCCTCGCTCTCGCCGTGCCGGATGAGCACCAAGTCGGATAGACGAGGGAGGCGGTCACTGCTGTTGCAATGTATGGAATTGGCATATACACTTGTAGGCGCAGCACATTTGGCAGTCGGGCGGTAAACGCGCAGCGTAATCCTCAACATGGTATTAATGTGCTGGTCTGCTGCGACTGTCGCAACTGACACAGATAGGATGGTCTGTCTATGCTTGCCAGACTACGCAACGACCAATCAACGTGGAGAGAGAGCTTATACCACAATGCCTTTCCGCGACACTTAGAGAAGAAGTGCATTCTTTGTCGATGCGCGGTGAGTAGTACAAGATCTGCATTTTGTTGCATGAACTCACGTCGACGCAGTCACTGCCAAGAATGTCATGCATCTAAAACTCCATTATTAAATCTGATTCGTCGGAGACTAAATTCAGGGTCCGAGTTAAATAAGTACTTGTTTAATTGATATTTTGCTGTATCTTAAGTGATAAAGTCTGAAGGCCATGTTGCGTTCAGGGACTTCCCGTAATAGCAATGATAGATAGATCGTCATGTTATATGTGAGAAATCCTTTGTGAAGGCACCGGCATGAACATTTAAGTAGGATTACATGAGAAAAAACAGTACGTGGACGAGTATTATTATTTTCTTGCAAATGTTGAAGTTAGATATGGAGACTCTTGATGCCAGCTACGCGTTGTTAAGCGACGCTATGGCTCGAAGCCGTGAGCTTCAGGCGAGGTTACGCAGTAGTTTGCCACTGCTATGGACGCACAACGCGCTGGTAATGAAGAGCACCGCACGACCGAGAAGGCGACGAGCTTTGGCTGAACCATCGGCGGATGGTGAAGCGGATCAAACGCTTTTCGCTGTCGGAGAGCAGTCGAGTCAACAGGCAAGCCGTCGATATACGCGCCGTATAGAGTGGGAAGTGGCAAGACGCATTGCGCGAGTTGACCGAGAGCTGCAGCAGTATCCTCCAGCGCAGCGATTTTGGAACCAGAAGACGAGGGAATTAGCATCTACTCGCTCTTCATCACACAGGAAACCCGTCAAGCACGATAAAACGATGAAATCAGTGGGGACTAGTCAGAATATGAAAACTAGGAATACCGCCAATATCATTATCAATCACGAGAAAAAAGCTTGGGTGAAGCCGACGATGAAAGTGGATGCCGCTACTGAAGTACAGTGCGTGTTGAAACATATTGGTACAAGCCCAATCCATGGTGACATTATAAAGAGTAAGACCATAGAGAACGCGAAACCGAATGCGGCGATCAAAACACAGCCTGAACAACAAATTGGCGTGAATGCTACAAAGAAGGAAATTTTGCTAAACGAAGACGTTGTGATGACGCCGACTGTGGAGGAGACGACTAGAAAATCTACAGAAGTGGTCAAGCTACAGGAGAATCAATCTACTCCGGATAAATCTATAATAGAATCAAGCTTTAAAGATTCTGAAGGTGATGAAGGTGATCGTGAAAAAGAATTTGATTTAACAAATGGCCTTCGCGCGGAAACTTCCAACAATGGGGAAGACGGTTCATCTATCATTAAAGAAAACATAGTTATTCAAAACGAGAAAGCAACAGAGAAGGTCCCATCATCATCCATCGGAAGACAAGTAAAATTGTCAGACTTTCGCACCTTACCATCAGAGCCGACTAGCGCGCAGACACGACATCGTGAAAGATCGGGAGATTCAGCAAAAAAGTATTTAAGTGCAGATGTGTTACGACGACTTTTTAGCGACTTAGATAGCGACAAAGATGGTCACGTGAATCGTATCGAAACATGTATGGCTCTGCATCGTCTGCAAATTCGTGTTTCAACCGCTAGAATTATATCATTCTTCCACAACATCCATAAGATTAATGGAAAATGTATGCAAAGTCATCGAACGCAACACCTACCAATGAACGAGCTGATCAACTATAAAGAGTTTGTTGCATTTATCACTGCTGCCTTTGACCAGCAGCATCAGCGAGAATTACAACGAGCGCAGCATGAAGTGAAAATGGTGTCTCCAGCGCTTTTCGGACCATCCAAATCTCCATCCTTGCCCAAATACACAGATCCAAAGACATCGTGCAAAAAAGTAAACATACCCCCAGTCCTGAAACGAGAGGACTATTATCGAGTTTATGAGGTGAAGGACGAAGAATTTGAACAGAAGGAAGAAGCTGGAAAAAGAATGTTTGAAAAAATTCCAGACTTTTTAATCAACCGGATACTTGCGGACAGTTATCAAGAAGTCAGCCTGAAAGCTGAGGAAAAGGCTGTATTTAAAGTACGAAACAGCCGAGAATCCCTTATCGAGCAGAAAGCAGCTGATGAAAAAGTCATTACTGAAATCACTCAGGAGTTGATCAAAGAGCAACTACTAAACAGCACGATATTAACACAGGAAGCGCCTGATGACGTTACTGGCTTGAAAAGAGCTGCAGCTTATTCAAAGCATGAAATGATGCAAGAAGAGTCTGATTGGTATGGAGGTGTCATGGCAAACACTGAGAATATTGATAAGTGGATCGACGTGGTAATTGAAGAGCAAGTATCCAGCGTGGTGCATAAACTCTGCAGAGACAAACAAGTTAACGCGCATAATTCGCTGGCACCTATCGAAGATGCAAACGTAACGATACCCAAAAGTCATTTTGCGAGATGGATAGATAAAGCAACAGAAACTAACGAGCTTTCGGCTTCTGCGGTATTAATTGAAAAAGCTGTGCAAGCCTTTGACGAAAGAATTGAAGAGAATTCTGGAACTGCTCATGAGAATATTGATACAGCTAGTCAAAAGAACGTACCAATTTCTGACCCTTTGACGCACTTTGGTAGATTCATAAATGAATTTACCAGTCGTTCTACTCACGACAACAAGTCCTCTGTTATGTTACGGCCGATCACTTCAATTACAATTCTGCAGCAACTTCGTCAACAGAGGCATCAGAATACTTACAATGAGCAAAAAGTACAATCATTTGTAAGCGCACCATGCAAAAAAGCTTCTAAACCGAATGTTTTAGCTCGGAGTGGAATGAAAAGCGGCATTGATAATATTAACGCAATAAGCCTTGCTGAAGACCTAAACAACAGTCTATCCGGCGATGCAGAAGATGTTTGTGAACTAGTCAATGAAACCGGACGGCAAAATTTAGCTGTATCGATAACAAAGGATTCCGTACCGCTCGATACGATACTTATGGACCCGATGAATGAAGTGGACGCTGCAAGTAGTAAAAGCAGCCATTACAATATTTCAGTGAGTAGCGATATTTCAAGTATCTCCTCCGACGATGAATCGGAAAGTGGAATATATAAGGTAATTAATAGTCATCTTCAGACCAGCGCGCGATCCGTTTGCTACCAGCGGCTGAATCTCGGCCACATCGATCGGTCTGTTTCGGAAAGCAACGATATTGATTCCATTTGCAGTGTAAAGCTATCGGAAGGTGAGCTCTCAACGATACAAAGTTTGGGCTTAAGTGATGGCGAGATATTGGGCAAGTGGAAAAGGATATGTTGTAAGCGCATAAATACAATGGATAGCCAAGAAGAGAGCAGCCAAAACAGCTCCGTTGAATCTGGAGAGCTTCCAGCACTGGTACGTTCTCCAATCGTTACTGTCTTAAAAAGTGAGCCATTACGCTAACATACCTATTGTCATGCCTAGATAAAAATCGATGCAAATTATCGCGGTGCTCGATCTTCTTCCTCCTCGGTTGAGTCCGGCGAGCTCGAAGATGGCGCTTTTGATGATTTTTCATCATGAAACAGCAATAGAGTGCTAGCGCTTAAGTGGCTGGTGGCTCACTTAATCGTCACTGTTACCACTGCCGTTGTTATTCTGACCGTCCAAATCATACGTTTCAAAAAGTGTGGGTTCACCTTGACCAATGCATCCGTAATTATGGTCGCCCATCATATTTTTCGCAAATTCTGATGCGTCTCTTCTTTCCGCCGAAAGTCGCCCCTTCTCTGTTACGCTTACTACATCACCTTGAAGAATTTGGAGTGCATCATTGACATCATTTGAGGCCTTGACAGCAAAAACGTCCTGATCTTGGCCAATAGCTGAGCGTTTGGATACAGTCAATGCCCTTTGCCTGATGCTACTCGAATTCTCTTCCTTCAAACTTTGCTCGACATCTCCACCGCTCTTGACTGCAAAATTAATGTGGTATTTGGTATGAACATCGATTTCTTTAAGAAAAATCTAGGGTTACCTTTTTTCTTGTGTGAATGAAAACGAAGTAGTCGTTTTGCTTCATCATTTTTTATACGCTGTTTACTCTCACAGCCGAGGCCAAACTTTTGTTGAAGCATATCTTGTGCGTATTTCAGATTGATCTGTTGCATATTCAAGTGAAACCGAGTTCGTAATATTTCTGCAGGTTCAGCAAAAGCTCTACCTTTCCATTCTGTTTCGAGTGCATGATAGCTTCCACTGCTTCAGCACGTGCCTCTAAAGGATCCTGTTGGAAAGGATATACATTTAGGTTCGGTACCTACCACGCAGTAGATTTGTTACAAACCTTCGGAAGGTTGATGTTCGCAGCTTCACATTTAGTCACAAGGTCAGCGAGCGAGCGCTGTGCCTGGCGAAGATTCATTTTCGTTATGATGGTGTGGTGTGCCAGTTAGACAAATGATCTATGCAAACACTGGGACAAGGATTATCCAACAGTACCCAAAATTTGTCGTAATTGCGTAAGTGACTACTACTTTTGAAAAATCTAAGTTACTTCGTCACGGGCAGGCCATCGTACTCGCTTAAAGCTGCAGCAAGTCCCTCATTCAGTAATTGGTCCACCTTAGTAGCCACGACTGGGCCCACGTGATCTAGTTTCTTTGCTTGAGCTCCTGAAGTGATGACATGTGGACTGCCACAAATCTCTTTCGCTGCTCGGAGACGAGCAAGTCCTCTTTGTGTGTACCCATTGATCATTTCGTACTCACCCAATTTCACAAGTTGGTTTACAAGTGACTGGTTCTCATCTCGCACGGCAGGCGTGGCCTCCGCTTGCTCTTGAATGCGACTTTTCTTAAAACGTTTCGTCTTTTTCATTCCACTAGCAATAGAAATCTTAGCAGTCGCCGCCCGATCCTGTTCATGAAAGTCGTGGTCGTATTTATCGCTTGCTATGGCATCACGTTGGGTTGTTGTGGGCCTCTCCTGCACAAGTGAGCGTTTTGAGACCAATGCTGGTCGAGATGAAAGTGTCTTTGTTGCAATTTTATCCATTGCCTCAGCATCGTTGCTCAATTCATTTTCTAGTTGATCGAGAGCTTTTGAAATCTGAAGATATCCCAGCGCTTGATTTTTAGTTTTCTGCAAGGCTGCAATTGTCACGCGAAGCGCATGCCAAGGGTCCTGTGTAAGCCATTGGGTTATATTTCGAACGTAATATCGTTACAAAGCGACAACGAATTTAAGAACCTTTGGCAGCCGGATACCCTGCTCTTCGCATTTCAGAATTAGATCCGAGATCGCCGTCTCCGTCTTCATCTCGCTTGATTTCTAGCAAATATAAAGTAATACCAACTGGAAGAGAACGAGACGCAACGTCTCACTCTTCAACATATCGTTAAGTAATTCACGTAAATTAGCAACGTGTTAAATGACAGATTTAAATGTTTGAATTTGAAAAAGGGCACACATAGCGACTGTGATAGTTCATTAATCTAATCTCGAGATCATTATCACCTTCCCGTCACACTGTAAACCACATCATGCAAGATTGCGGCCATATAATGATGTCTCCAATGGACGCTGCAGGCGAAGCGCGTCTAGCAAAGTTGCGCGCGTGTATTCGCAAAAAGTTCGGATCAAGTGGCAGCAAATGCCGCACGAAACGCGCGCTAGTTATGGCGGACGAAGGCTCACCGTCCACGAAAACGCCGCGCACGAGAGTTCGCCAACGCATTGCTCAGGCCTCACACCTCAGCTCAGAACAGCTTTTTGTTCAGCAATTTGGTAGCGGCGTGGAGCTGATGAGTGAAGAGTTTGATCTTGCCCGACCGACCGGTCACCCCGTCCGTTTATCAACCTCATCGACTACCACAATACAACAACAACAAGCAGTCATAGCGCCGACTAATTATTTTTCCTTTGCTTCGATGGCAATATCGAATTCTTCGTTTGCCAGTTCACTTCCTGCACCATTGACTTCCGTCCACAAATTGACGCGACCGAAACACATTCGCACGCCAAGAAAGGCAGCTGTTAAAAGAATACGAGGAGGAGAAGGCAGCGCCGAGAAAGCACTTTTGTTGAGAAAGCCTCGACTTGGTGGAGCCAGCTCCAGTAGCATCAATTACACTGGTTCAAGCGTCTCGGCGATGGGCCATCAGACAGTCACAACCCTGTCATCGTCTTTCGACACTGAGAAAGCTTTTGCGTCTGTCACGAACCAAAATTGCAAGTTCCAGCCTAGCAGCTATTTTTCAGTGACGTCACCAAGTAAATTTCACTTCCCTTCTAGCGCTACGAAACTTTTACCGCAACGCCAGGCACTGCGGCGGTAATGTGAAAGATACGAAGTATGCTCAGAAACAGACGATGTGGAGAAAACACAACGGACGCATTATATGTCAAAACCGTTCGTTCAAAATAAACGTAACCTAGATTAAAAAGCAAGTAAACACAAAACATGACGTGGTAGTGTAACTTATAGCCGCGTTTTGTATTTAGCCTTCAGAAATAGAAGAAAAATTCGAAAATTTTTGCGATCAGATTCTAGTAGATCATGGCCTCCATACGATTTAACCGTTCGATTGTACCCGAGGGTGATCGTAACTTGATCATCCCTGCGAAAGTGACGAGAAGTTCAGCCTTTTTACGCAAAGCGGCGATACCACCACGTCGGGCTTCACCAGAAATTTGAGTCTTTAGGCGTTCTGCATCACGCACAAGGCACTCCATGTAGCCAAGCATAAGAATATGAAAGTTTTGTCGAACACTTTCGTCGAAGGCGACAAAACGGTCGACGCAGAGAGACAAATTACTCGAGGTTTGGGTTGGAACAACCTCCAATTCATCAACGAATCCAATAGCATCTTCATACTGGTGCTTTTCAAATATCTCCAAGAAAATACTTATATTCAAGAGTGTCTGAAAGGCAATAGCAGCGGTGCGCGCATGCCGATTAGCAATGGTCTGCACCCACGGAAAACGCATCCATTTTTCAGCAAACCCCTTGGCTTCACGAAACCATTCCTCTCGTTCTGGCTTAGAAGCGGACAAACTCGAACTAAGCTGCGAGTTAAGCAACACAAGGACTCCTTCAATGTCGCCTGCACTTTTCAACAATGTAAAAGCATCGTGTAGACGACCACGAGCCTCAGCCTTATGCGCAGCTAATAGAATTAATCCCTTGACCTCATCGTCAGGCTCGTCTTTTAACAGGTAGTCGTACAGTCCGCGAGTACGTGACCCGTCTGTATTGTTCGTGAAACCAGCCAGTACGTCAAACATGCGTGTGTCAAGAAGCAGCTCTGACAGCAACTCCTTTTTCGCTGTCAAGTCTGGTATGCAAGCCACATAATTTGCAGCTTCAGCAGCGTTCGAACGCTGAAACCCGTGAATGTATTGACGGATGAGGCGTACAATATCGACAGTCTGTTCATCTTCTTCACCCATCGAGAACGAAGTACACTCTAGCAAACCGTAGTAGTTCAATGTGATTGCAAAGTGTACCGCTTCCAGCAGGAACCCCTTGGAAGCTAAATACTTAATAGCCTTTTCGAATTCTTGCGCTATCAGTAGGATCTCAAAATATAAAAAAGCGGTGAAATTCCCATTTCCAGGCTGTTCAAAATGCGTTGGTCCAAATCTCTGCATACTTTTGGATAGCTTATTGATTGTATAAGATCCGTCAGAATCAGAGCGAGTTACTGCTTTGAATTGTATAAAGCAAAGACGCTGCCACAAATAATCTTCCAAAGTTGTCGTGATACGTTGCTCGTTGGCGTTCACATCACCAAAACACAATAGATTCACAACGCATCGTTCGAACGGGTTTACCACAGAGACTGCGTCAATCGACGAGCTTACTAAACGATGATAACGCCCAATTAAGCGGTCAGATTCGCCAGGGAACTGCTTGGAGAATGCATTTAACGGGGTAGCATTGCGGTCCGAATATAGGCTCCTCTGTTGTACTCGGTATTTCAGAGCACAAATTATATCAGCATCAATGTCAGAAAAGTCACCTGAAACATCGGTCACAAGCTGAAATGCTTCCTGATCACCACCGCAGCGAAGACAGTAATAAACAATGGCCCAAATATTGTCCACATCAGTACTGCTCCCACCTTCATTCGCAGCGTATCGTGAGCTGTGCAAGTGCTTGACAAACGCTTTAATTTCAGACAAAAGATTTGGAACACCACCAATAGCTAAGTTGTTTTTCTGTACGGTTTCCTGCACAAATGCACGAAATTGTTTCTCTAAAAACAAACGAGCACCAACTACAAGATGATGCTGGAGAAGTGAGCGCTGGCTTTCGTCCAGTGAATGTCTCATGGCCTCAAATTCACGCTCCGCTAGCCTTGGTGCACTAGCTTTTGAGGCATCTCCCCCTGCCAGCAAATCATTGACAAGCTGCCAGCACTTATTTACTGCTTCCCATTTGGAGCCAGTTACGGACATTGACACATTCGACGAACACATTCGCTGAAATTGCCGTGCAAGCTCGAAATGACTGCGTGTATTAGGTACTCGACAGCTATTTAGCTCCTTCACAATCATGCAGTATTGCTTCATCTCTTCTGTCAACATACTTTCTTCTTGTAACTGCGACATATGCAAAGATGGCGTTTCTGAAGTTGTGATGGCTGGAGCCTGGAAACGAGGCTGACCAGCAAAAGACGCACCACTCAGTCCTAAACCAGTTGCATTTTGAAGCGCCTGGCGTTTTTCTCGAGCAAAAGAAGAGATATTGGTTCCGAAGACTTCATCCGTCTCCGAAACGCGAGGGTAGTTGCGGATCCCAAGCAGCTTAGCACCGCTTAGATCTTCCAAAAGGCGTTGCTTCGATTCTTCAAAGTCATCAATCATAGCACGATTCATACGGTCGTGGGTGGACTCCACCGTGCGGCGATTCACTTCTTCAATGGCTGTGAGAACAATCATTTCGTGATGGTGAGCTAGATATCCCTCGAGATCCGTCTCGCCTAGGGGTGTCTCGGGTTCGAGCTCGGATGCGATATCGAAATGCTGTAAATCTTTGCTAAGCTTCTCAGTATCGATTCCTTTGGAAGCTAGTAGGAAACTGGCCTTGTCAGTAGCTGGACGCTTCCGATTGCCTGAAGTGGGAACCTGGTCGCTGAGCGTGCGCGACGCAACATCCAGCTGTTCAAGATGCTTTTTAAGACGAGGGATACCCGAATCTCCAAAAGACGTCGTCAGCTTGAGCGAGCTCTGATACAATGCCTGGAAATCTACATCCTTGGTGGCCATGGTGAAATATCGAATGTAGTTTGGTGGGCTATGCTGTATGGATGATAATGATGTGGTGCCCATCAATTTGTTAATGAATCATCTAGCTTTATAGTAAAGTTGTATTATCAGGCTTGGTGTAGTGATTTATTTCATGTTCAGTTTGAATTACTTGGTAAATATTACTTACTTAAACACCGCAGTCTTTAGGTTGTAAAATCGCTGCATATACTAACGATTGACACTAGGTATACGTGTTTTGTCCTAATAGCAATTCACCAAAGCCACAAAATCATCAATGTTATCCTTTACCCAAACCCCTAACCAGCGTAAGGAGAGGGGGTGGTAAACTAAACAATCAATCGTCGATCGCAGATAGGAAATCGCGGCGTGCTGCAAACCTAAGAAGCAGGTTAAGTACACGCAGTTCTCGTCGGGTAAATCCACGCGACGAAGAGCAAGTGGCTTGTACGTGTACTTGAGCCTGACCCGCAGCGGCACTCGCTAGCGATCCTTAGCGACCAAGTGCAAAGAATCCGCTCTCTTAAGTACGCTTCCCTCTGAGGCGGGGTTGCCAGTTTTACCCACAGGCGCTAAGATTTTTTTGACGCTCAATTTCTACCTCGATTCTTACAGCCAGATAAACTGACAGATAGTTTACATAAAGATATGGCGTGGACTTGCACTGCATGCGAGTTTGCAGCCAATGAGGATGGACAAGCGGCGTGTGTGGCCTGTGGCTCCGAACGTCCTGAACAGGAGCAAAAGGAAACCGCAGACGAGTCGGATAATGGCGAAGTGGCTCTTGAAGTTGTAGTCATTGAGCTTCCGGCGAAAGAAAAACTTGGTGTAAAGCTGATGCCTCCTAAAGATGGTGTGATCAATCATGGTCTTGCTATTGATAATATCAACAATCCATTACTGGAAAATAAAGTGCAGGCTGGCGATCTGATTGTGGCTATCGGAGGAAAAAATGTAGATGGTATGGGCTTTTCGGATGCCATCGATTTGATCCGAAAATTACCACGACCTCTTGCAATTTCGTTTGAAATTGATGAAGTGCGACGTCAAGAAGTTGTGCGTGAAAAGTTTCAACAAAATCAAGACGATGATTTAGACACACAATTAACAACATACGCAGTGGTCTTTGACAATGGTCCCATGGGTCTTAATTTGGAAGAAGCTGTCCGATATGGTATCGATGGTGCTGTCGTGCGTGCACTTAAGGGTCAAGCCAAGACAAGTGGAATGATTTCGGTAGGCGACATCGTATACAAAGTGAATGAGACGGATGTACTCTGTATACCATATCTTGAGGTTATGAATGTGCTTCGAAATGCGACAGCTCCGAAAACGCTGCAATTTGTGCCAAAGGACAAATTAGCGGATGTTCAGCGCGTTAACTCGCGCCACTCAGAGTCTTTCCGGCTTCGTGAATCGACATCGCATGTAAAGCAAAAGCTGATGAATAATCCACGAATCGTAAAGGATGAGGGTCATGATGGGGATGACAATCAATCAATTGCTCAGTTGATTCTTGACAATCAAGGTGCAACAATTAAAAAGGGTCGCATGTACAAGCAGGGTCGAGTTATGCGAAACTGGAAGTCTCGATACTTTGTCCTGAGCGTGTCGAAAGTTGAATATTTTAAAAGTCCCAGCTCGACAACTTCGCGTGGTGAAATGAGTTTCTTAAATCACCGCAGCACGGTGCGTTCCTTGCCCGGAACGGGAGATGTGGTGTGTCGCTCACCAAACGTCACTGCTGAGTTTCTGCTGGAACTCCGCGTTGATGATCGTCGTATGGTCATGGCGTGTACGTCTGAATCTGATAAAAAGGGCTGGATGGATGCTATAAAGCTGGCAATTGATGCTTCAAAGACTGTCAATCGCACTCAAAATCTTAACGAATCACTGCGAGAAGCCAAAGCGTTGCGAACACAGCGTACTGAGAGTCTTTCAATGGACGGTACTTTCTTAGAACGAAACGCGGGTGGACGTCTTTCTCAGTTCAATTACGAGGCTTTTTCGACTCCCGTGATTCATGTTGGTGTTTTGTCAGCAACGAATTTGACCAAGTCGGGCAGCTCTATAAATGCATTGTGCGAAGTTACGGTGGGTGCAGAAACTTTCAAGACTTCAGTGGTGAAGAATCAGCGGTCTCCTGTTTGGAAGCAAGACAACTCAGCTTCTTTTGAGGCTCCAAGTGACGATATGGTGGTGGAGATTCGTATTTTTGATGAGCACTTGTTTCGAACGACAGAGCTTGTCGCGACGCTTTCGATACCTCTGAAGTCGCTACCTAACATGCAAAAGACTACGAAAAAATATCCTCTTGCTCTTGGTAGCCGTTCAGCAGGAGCCGTTCTGACTTTATCACTAGAATATGTGAACAAACAGAAGGCATATGAAGAGGATCAGGAACGTGGCCGTCTTGATGATGATTTGAGCCGCAACGGTATGATGAACGAGCGCGATGAGATGGTTAAAATTAAGGCTGAGGCTCAGATGGCCGCCGATGAAGCTACACACCACGCTGCTCGAGCTCAGGAAGAAGCTCATATGCTGCTTGAGCAATCCCGGCAGAAAGCTGAAGCAGCTATGGCCGCAGCACGTGAAGAGCAGCGTGAGGGTAAGGCAGCTGTGGAGAAAGCTATGGCAGAAGCAGCAAGGGCTAAAGAAGAAGCTGAAAAGCAGCTTGCTGAGGCTAGAAGAGCACAAGAAGAGGCTCAGAAGCTTATTGAGGCAAATCGCCGTATCCAGGAATCGGATGTCCAGGGTCCATCAATTTATGCTCAATATCGCCGCATGGTTCAGGATGGTCATTCAAACGATGATGTAAAGAAAAAAATGCAAGAAGATGGTATTGATGAGGCTGGCATTGGGGCATTTTTTGATGGTATCAACTCTTATGACGAAAAAATTCGCGCTTTGCAGGCAGAAGTGGAAAAACTAAAGCGCAGCCGCTCCACGCGGCAGAAGGATGAACCTAGAGCACAGGATATGCTAGCTAATCTGGATATTTCTAGCGACCAAGTAAAGTTGCTACGTCGCTTGTTGAAGCTGGAAAAGCAGCTGCAGCAAGCTGGTATTGCTGTCGCTGCTGATATTCCTTACGAAGAGGCTATGGCAAAAGTTCAAGAAATTTCAAAACGGATGCAAGAAATCGGTTCGGCTGATGTGACGCATCCAGACCCTGCAATTCAGAAGCAGCTTCGTGAAGAGTATTACCGTTTAGAGCAGGATATGGAGAAGTATAACACTGCCTTGATGCTAACTGACGAGTATGCCGCTGAAGAAGCACGGAAGGAACGCGAGTGGGAGGAGGAAAATTATGAGGAGAATATGAAAGCACTGAAAGCCATACGTCGGATGATGCCAGTCGATGTGAAGAAGATGTCAGAAGCGGATCTTCAGACAGTACCATCGGCGACTGGGAAGACGCTTTCGCGTGAAATCGCTCGCAAATTTAAGCGAACGAACGTTTTGGAGTTGCTTCGCATGGATCCAGCAGACATTGCGAAGAATCATCCGTCGCTGCTGGATAATCTTCGTGTGACTGGTCTGACGGTGACCGAACGTCGTGCCCTGCACATGCACTTGCGTGACATTGCAGACACTTGGAAATCGCAACAGGGTGAAGAAATGACAAAAAAGAAATACGAGTGGTTTAAAACGCTGAAGGAGACGTTTAAGACTGTTGTGAACTCGTACAATAAGCACGTAAAGCAGTACGGACCCGAAGATAACCACCCGTATGCTACCCGTGACGATCCGGACATCGGTTGTCCTATGCTTGGTAAACAGTGCCCAATCAAAGCAAATAGAGCCCCTGCATACGACCAGGATCTCGGGCATCCTGATGGAGACGTGTACATGGAATCCACAGTTCAAAAAGGTAACCCCGACGATGCCGGCGCTAGAGCTCTTGCAGAAGCGCAAGAGCTGGCGCGTGCAAAACTTGCAAACTCTCGAGCTGACGCTTTGAAGAAACACTATCGCAATGTACGACTTGTTGCTGAAGCGAATGGTGCGTGCGAATTAATCGACACCTCACTGGATCAAGTCGAGAATAGGCAATTGCTCTGGTTTCAAGCACGACTTAAACGCCGACTTGAGCGTACGGAGACTGCTGCTACAATCAAGGTGGAGCTGGCCGAATTTGGCGAGCTTGTTAATGAGATTCGTTTGGCAAGTTTGAAGTTTGCCGAAAGATCGGGAATGAATCTATCGGGTAAACGGGATTCATCGCGCGATGCAAAAGATACGCGATCATCTATTGAATGTAATCTGATACTGCTTTACTGTGAGGCGGTGGCTGACTGCTTTGACGGTATGGACGAACGCATGGAGGAGGTAAAGGCGAATGACAAGCGCCTGCTTTCGGCAATTCCTATCATGCGGGGCCTTTTAAAAGATCTAGCTGAAAAGAGTCGTGCTACGCTTGACTCACTGAAAGATAAAGGTCCACCAGTGACCCGTCGCGTGAAAACTCGAGCTGAAATTTTAAAAGAAGCAAAGGAGAAGAACAAAAGTGCTACAGCACCGGCAGAGGCCGAAGCAGCTGAGGAAGTGAACCCCAGTCGGGCTGTGCATCCAATGATGGCTGCCAGAGGGAGAGGGCGTGGCGGTCGCGGGGGTGGACGTAATGACCTCTTTTCAGCTATTCAGGGCCGTGGTAGTGGCGACGATGCGGGTCCTCCTACTGACTTTCTCTCTTCGATTCGGGGTCGTGGTCGGGGCAAGCCCGGAGGTCCAGGACGTGGTGATTTGTTTTCTGCAATCAAGGCGCGTGGAGGTGATGATGGTGGGCGTGGTGGCCGGGGTGGTGATTTGATGTCAGCAATTCGCGGCCGTGGCGATGGAGGTGCGAATCCTGGACGTGGTGATTTCTTGTCTGCTATCGCTGCACGAAAAAAGGAGTAGTGATCAAATATATGAGACTAAAAGGTAAAAAGAACATAGTACTACCGTCGAGGGCCTTAATATTGCATCAACGGGAAGAAATTAATGCCTCAAAGCATATTTTCTAAAATTGTTAGATTTTCACAATTGGTCCTGTTGCTTCGATTTCAGATACAAATAAAAAAAGAGAGAATAAAAAAAATGCCCAACTTTTGCCATATATAAAAAAAATATC